CTTGGACGCAGTCCTGTGCCACGTGCTCTAGGTGACCCTGCGTGTGCAGGGGGATTGGATTAGATGACCTCCAGAGGTCCCTTCCAACCTTAAGCATTCTACAAAAAGAAATTGGGAGTTTGATATTTAAAGAAGTGAAAGCAGAACTGGAGCTTCCTGAAAGTGCTTTCTGAAGAAACCAATTAACCCTTGGTGTTTTGTTGTTTAACCAAAGGCACCTAGCTCTCCTTTAAATCAATGGAAAAAGGCATCTACCTCAGGGCTCGCAGTTGTTGCAATGAGGGGAAATTGATTAAGTATTCTGACTATTTTAGAGTGCAGTTCAAGACAATAAATGCAAGTCGCACACTTTGTGAAAGATGTTAATCAAAAACTGAGATCATCAAACAACTACCTACCTACCCTCTGGCAGAGGCCAGCAAGGCCTCAGCAGCTGCTTCAGATCTGTTATCTGGCATGACGATACAATTACATACTGTGGCCGTCCAAATACGCTACTCCCACTACTCGTTTTGCTGGCTTTACATTATATTGTCACTCATAAGCCACTTGCAGGACACAAGACTCGCTCCATACAGGTTAGTGACACAGGAGGTTGCTGGTGCAGTGTAAGGCCGACGGTCACAGAAGGAACTCCAGGACAAAAAGACAAACCGGCGGTGTCGCCGGTCTGATCAGTCTTGGCTCCCTACGCAAGGGTTTGGACCAGACTGCCATGCCCAGCCCAAGGACCAGAGCCTACACCTCTCACCTGCCAAGCAAACACACTCACCTCTAGGGCCAGTTTCATGGTTGCCCCTGTCTGGGGCAAGGAGCAAGTCAGACAACATGGAGCAGCTTCCAGGAAGGAATTGGAGGCCTTTCCCCTCAGCCAGCAACACTGGCTTCGGCTGAAAGCCCCATTTCAAACCTCTTCTCACAGGAAGAAGTGAACAGACTCCCAGTTTCCTCTGTCCTTGGAGTTTTCCTCTTTGCCAAGGTAGAGCACAGGGTGGTGCTGCTATTGTTTTGCCCAGGCTCTCTGTAAGCAGCTACTCAAGTAGCAGCGAGGCCCTGGCTGGCTGAAGCCATGCCAAGGGGTCAGATTGCCATCATCATCATCATCCCTTCCCTTCCCGGCCTTTTATCCTTCCACTATCCACCCACAGCATCTTCCATGTGGCCTTCTGAGCTAGAGGAGTCCTGCAGCTCCCTTGTGCCCAGTACCAAGAAGAAAGGTGGAGAGGGGAAAGGGAAGAAACAGCAACTAGCAGCATTTTGACACTTCAAATCTTAGCCCAGCAGTCTACACATTTTTACACTCAAGTGATTTTACCAACATCAGACCCCTCTCTCTCTCTCTATAAATATAGATATATATATCTACACATACACACACACATATATTAACTCCAGAAAAAAAAGGCATTTTCAAAGCCTTGAACTAGAGACCCAAGACAAAATGAATAAACTACACATACACACATATATATTATTAACTCCAGAAAAAAAAAAGGCATTTTCAAAGCCTTGGACTAGAGACCCAAGACAAAATGAATAAATAAATTTAGGCTCTCTCAAGTCCTAGGAAAGCAGGTGCCAGCTATCTGCACCACTCTAATCTTTCTAAAGAGTGAGCTTGTGAAGTTGTAATTGAATGCAGGCACTGACAGAGCTTTTTTATTTCCATGCTTCCTTTCCACATCAGTGCTCTAACCTTTACCTTTGAAATTTAGTTGACAGAGTTTCCATTTTTACATCATCGTGATACAGCTTGGTACTTTGTACACCTATAAAATGACAGCTTCTAAGACTGATTACACAGTTCTCTGAGTAAGAAAGCCTGTTTGGTCTTTTGCCTGGTCAGTTAGACCTTGAACTGCTTAAGCTTTGCACAACAATTTATAATAACCTTCTGTTTCTAAAACCTCACTGGAAATACCAATTGTGTTTTTATCCGCAGCTCTTACAGGCAGGTTAACAAACATAAAACAAGTTAGAGCCCCACCTAAGTGTGCACTGCCATGCACCTGCCTGACCATATAAAAACATCAGAAGCTAAAACAGGGCTCTGCAAGAGCCACGGCTGTCAATGACAATGGGGGCAGGGGAGGGGAGAGAAGGAAAACAAGAGTTAAGAAAATTAAAAAATAAAATAAGTATTTATTATGAGATACTATAATGCATAACAAAACAAAAATGACTTAAAAAAAAGTAATTTAAACCACATCCTATATTTATGAATTATATTCAGTTCTTTTTCCTCCCACTTTAATATCAGAATTTGCTATTGTATTTATGTACACCATTGAAAATTGTTTAAGGAGTGATTCAAGAATCCATGCAGATGAGGAGAGCGGAGCCTTAGCTTGAAATGAAGACATTCCAGTGGAAGTCAGGAACAGAGAAATTGCTAGGACTGAAAATTTACACAAGCCTATAAACTGAGCATGTAAAACTTAGTAAAACCATGAAGAAAACACTTAAAATGAGAAATACAAGCCTTTTTCCTTTTATAATACCACATCAAAGTGACACAGGACACCCCAGTGATCACTAGGAAATCTGCCACAGTCCAGTTTTTCCAACCCAATTAGGTCCATGCTCCGTGGGACAATGTGCCCCCCAGGAGGCGCGGGCTGGAGGTAGAGCCTGTCAAAGCGCAGCCTGCACGTGTACGCCGCGGCCAGGTTGCTGTTGCTGCTTGTGTCCCACGTGTAACGGCAGTGCTTGGGCTTACCCAAAAACTCCCAGACATCCACAATGCTGCTAGGTAAGCCACCTAGTTTATTAACCTGGAAGAGAAAGCAAAAAAACAAAGTAAACAACAAAAAACCACAACAGTGAATTCACAAATACTTTTTAAAGTGAAACGCAAAATCTTATCTTTCCCCTCCACTCCTGCAGAACATGCGCTGTGGAAAACAAAGATTTTAGAGGCCTATCTCCCGTGTTTCATGGGAGATTTAAAAACATGACTAATTCCTGCAGTATTTCCTAAATGAAAACATGCTATAAAATTGCAGCTTTGTATTTTCAAGGTATTGGGGCAGCATTGTGTTCTCTAAAGCCATGCCATTTCAGTTCATCCTGATGGAGATTTACCACAGAAAATAAATCTGCCTTCTAGTAAATACACAAATTTCACTTTGAACATCACCAGCCAAAGTGACTTTAAATTTTGAATGTCTCCATGATAGTGGGAATAATTTAGATTTCTAAGATCTCTTTCTCCAAAGCACATACTCTTTTGTTTGTGTGACTAGCTTCTCTGTAAAGGCAGTGCCCAAGCTGAGCAAATGAAGACCAGGTTCTCAAAATATTCTGGAAGTTGAAACCCCATTAATTCTCCCCACGTCTTCTGAGAAACAAATATCGCTGACAAAGCATTTTGTGGTGTGTGCAGGAAAAACACAGATTTTTGTCTCAAAATAATTAGGTTGCTGACTTATTTACCTCACTGTCTCTGAGGTTTGTATCCCCTCCAAATATAACAGTGGTGGACTCTGATTCCTTCTGCATTTTTTTAAACACTATTTGCAGTTGCTTCATCCTCTCCTTTGAGTGATCTTTAGTGCTTTCTAGATGAGAGGTCATAAGGCAGAGTTCATTGCCAGCCACAGTCACCTGTGCATGAAACAAAGCAGCAACATTGCATTCCACACCAGGACGAGAAAGCCAAAGACAAAGCAAAGAACGATCATAAAGCAAACTGCTCTGCCACAGCTCTGGTTAATATTGGTATTAAATCGGAGCAAAATGGCTTACAGGTGGCCAGCAGGCTTCTCATTCTGCTGTTGGATGTTTGACAATGAGGTATGAGCTCACGCGTTTGGAGTAAAATTGCTTGTGTTCGGTGTGAGACTGCCACCCACAGAGGTCAGTCCAGCCTTTTGGGGGATGTTTTTTGAAGGCAGACAAGCAGTTATTTAGCACCTACTGACTTACATGCACAACCAAAAGGTTCCTCATCATGGACGTTGTTGGGAAAGGTACAATCTCTTGTTTTACTAACTTCACTCTAGAGTTCTTCAACATTATAGCCGTGAAATAACCATCTATGTTACCTAAGGAACAGGGAAAGAAAAGGTCCGGGAAAGGTCGTCAGTCGCACCCTAAGGAACTCGCAGTTCTGACTGAGATCTCCTCACTATGATCTGGGAGAATCGTGCTAATTTGCAAGATGTGCAAACTCGTTAGTTCGGAGTTTCTCAGTAAGGGTGAGAAGTCTTCAGATTTTTTTTTTTTAAGGAACAGGGAAAGAAAAGGTCCGGGAAAGGTCGTCAGTCGCACCCTAAGGAACTCGCAGTTCTGACTGAGATCTCCTCACTATGATCTGGGAGAATCGTGCTAATTTGCAAGATGTGCAAACTCGTTAGTTCGGAGTTTCTCAGTAAGGGTGAGAAGTCTTCAGATTTTTTTTTTTATCCAAAAGTTTAAGAAACTACTTATGTAGGACTTTATTTTGGCCAATCTCGCAATCAGTCTTTAAAAATAAAAATAGGAAACCACCACTCACATGGATATTGATGGATATTTTTGCATTAAACTATATCCTAGTATCAAAACAGAAAGTAGTTTAATTGCATCTTTCTTCATTTTACCCTTTTACTTCCTATGAAGTTTTGGCAAGGGAGACCAAATAAAATGGAAGTTTTTTTTTTCTAGTTTCTGTCTCATAAAATTAGTGTTTATTTCTTACCTGGGATAATTGTGTAATTGCCTGCTCTCTTCTGTAGATAACACAGGTACGGTGGTATGACCTCCTGTAAAAACACCACGTCTGGACTGTATCTGAAATCAGCAAGACAAGGTTTTTAATTAGACACTGGAAGCTGACACTGTCACACCTGATGCCAAATAGAACAGGGTCAGAGATGTCAGATGCACTTTTTTTTTCTTGTCTTCCCAGGTAGCATAAGAATCTTTTAAAAACAAACAAACCCACTCTATCTACTAGCATGTAAACACACTTCCATTAGTGAAGGGAGAAAACAATGATTATTACTGCCACAGTAATAAAAGGTAAGAAGCTGAGACCTGTGCAGTCGTATGTAGGTGAGATATTCAACGGGCTGAAAAGCAAGCTCTGGAACATGTTTTGTATGGTCTCCAGCAGGTTCCAAGCCCACCTCGTTCGTTGCAGTAACCTACTGTTTGTCCCCTCTGATCCAAGCCTTGCCAAACTTCTGCTTCCTAGCGGGCTGCCATCAGCAAAGCCCCTACTTACACTGCACTGCTGAATAGACTGCTCTAAGCAAGTGACGGGCAAACCTAAGGGCTTATCTCTACAGGAAAAATGAAATCACGCCAGTTTAATAACATCAATTTAAAAATGATTTAGTTAAGGGCTTTCTATTGGCTTAAGAGGAACTAAAATTAACATATGTTAAATGCAGTTTAATTTACACTAATGAATTAGTGCATTAAGCTAAACCAATTTATGTAATTGTTAAACTGTTTAAATATATATTTTTTTTTCATGGAAGACTTCCAATGGTATAACCATAGAAGGTGATCGATGCTGCAGTTTTACTCTCCTTCCAGATTCTCTTTTTACCTTAACTTGCACTTTTTCATTTTTGATAACCAAAGAACAGTAATGTCAAAAGAACCACTTTTTTCATATATGTCATACAGTTTGTTCTAGAGTGAAGTTATTTACCTGATTCCAGCAGAATGAGTAAGTCTCTGAGCTTTTATCCCCTTCTTACGCACAGAATGAAAGTGCGCTCTCGCTATATGATTGCAATTTGATATTAACAGCATTATTCTTTCCAAAGAGCATTTTAGAAGTAGCCATTGTAAGATAATTTAACCTCTGTGATGTGGCACAGACCTCTTCCTGTCAGTACATCAGGTTTTATTAATCTATTTTAGGATTTATAGATCTAGAACTGTTTAATCTCGCGTTGAGATGATTTGGGCACCAATACTTTGTTGGTGCCTAAAGCAAGGAGATTGCTTTCTCCTTTGAAGACAGGTACACGACAACTTAGAGATGAAAGCATGCTTACAATGCCAGGTAAGAACAGACTCCTCGAGCTCGGTCTTGCTGATTTCCTAAATCAAGGCCATCGATGTTCCAGGTGAGCAGTGAGAAGCTGCTGTCATCTTCTGGTTGCTTTGGGTCTGCGCCATTGACGCCGGTATTACTAGTAGTTGCATCCGTTGTCAGGTCAACACTAAAAAGATATTATACTTATTTGTCAACATCATAATACGATTCCCCCTTCGATTACTTCCCTTACCTTCTAAAATAAAACTTTTTTTTTTGACTCTTCACAACTTCCAGGTGGCTGACCAATACCTTTCCAACAAAGGAGCTACCGTAAATTGATCCCTTACTCAAAGAAAGGCATCAGCGGTAACATACAGATCTCAGTCGGGCAGAGGCTTCACACTTGGGTGAAGTGCACTGCACACACAAGACAACATGTGCCGTTCACATGTACCATTCCAACTCGAGTTCACGTGATGGAAACCAACGTAACTCAATGGACTTGTGCAATTCAACCTTTTCCCTATTTGAGCCTTTGGACAGGGGCTCTATATAGCAATTTCTCAAAGACGTACCAATATATCAGAAGCAAACAACTGCAGCCAGGACTTGCTTTTGCGTGCCCAGCATGGCTCAGCTCTCCAAAAAAACCTCACTGCTCTACCCACTGTGGCCCTACACGTGCTAACTCACTGTGTAACAGAGCTGCTTTTTTCAGTGCTGCCAAGTTACGAGCACCCGTCTAGTCCCTGCTCTGGGACCGTATTGCTAAGGCAAAACAGACTCTACCTGCTAAAGCATCATCCGATGAGAACTCCTTCAGTAAAGGGACAGTCCATAGCAAAACACGTTAACTCGTACAGATAAGACTGGACTAGCTGCTTTGGCAAAGTTGTAATAATACAGTTTTGCTTTTAAGCGTCATATACATTGCATATACACATGCAGATAAGGCCTTGAACCAAAAGATATTTGTCCCTAGAATTTAGCACTGTTTTCACGCTTGATGCTGCACAAAAATTAAAAGGTACCACTATACATAAAGGAAACTGAACAGAAAAAGATGGGCCAAAAAAGGAGGAGAGGCCAAAGGATATTGAAATAACTAAGAATTATTTCAGAGTAATTTCAGAGGCAGGGCCTCTGAAATTTCCCTACCATGGTAACATTTTGTATATGAACTGCAATCTGAAGGAATGTGAGATGAAATATAAGTGCATATATAGACACCAAGCAGTGTGAAAATAGCAGTCAAAACAAGGGGATTTTTTTCCCTCTCAGAGTGATGGAGGATACTTGGTGTATTAAGCGTGGTCAAGACTACTGCAGGCACTGTCTGCTAGAAAAATGAAATCCACAAATGCCAGAGAAATAAAATTGCCTAATATTGACCCTGTCAACTACAAAAGCAAAAGTGTAATTGTAACCCAGGCTTTTTCTATGCTAGCACCACTACTACTGCTTACCAGCAACGGCCCAGAATTGGTGCTAGCCAGAGTGCAAACAAACAAAACGTTACATTTCTCCAGCAGCATTAAAACATCGGCAGCCCTTCCTTACTACGGACCTCACCTGCACATGCCCCAGGTGCAGCCCTGCGTACGCGGGCGGCAGGCGCCGCATCAGGCCTACGCGCTGCACACGCACGCGCTTATACACGTGCACACACACATATATATACACACACACACATATATATACACACACGAGTATCCCAGGCAGATGCCCGGGGAGGGGGGCGACGCTTCTCCCACTCACCAGGCGCTGGGCTCGGCCTCCCGCCGCGGCGGCTCGAAGTAGGCGTTCAGCGCGCCCTGAAACACAGCGCGGCCGCCGTGGGAAGGGGCCCCGGCCCGGCCCGCCGCGGGGAGGGCC